CTCCCGAACCCTGCCGCCCGGGGGCTCCCGAACCCTGCCGCCCGGGGGCTCCCGAACCCTGCCGCCCGGGGGCTCCCGAACCCTGCCGCCCGGGGGCTCCCAAACCCTGCCGCCCGGGGGCTGAAGTTGAAGCCTGAGCAACTTAACTTCACAAGGCCCTCTGTGACATGGGGCCCTGGGCAACTGCCCTGCTTGCTACCCACTCATGCTGGTCCTGGTTTTTATATGCAGAAAACCAGTTGTTGTGGCATAAGTGGGCCGTGGAGTTTTTCTAGCATGTTGGGAGGGCTCAGGTTGAGATTTAGGGTATGCCTGCACTGCAGCTAAGCCCAGGTTCTGATTCAGGTTGAGCCCAAGCCCTCCTTTCGTCCGCACACACACATCAGTCTAACTCATGTCAGCAAGCACTCAGGACCCTGCTAGGGCTTCGGGCTGTAACCCACCCCCCTATCGTTTTGCATTGTGGATGCAGCTCAAGCTGTAGACCCAAGTCAGAATGTCTGTGTAGTGCAGTATGGACAGACATTAGCATGGCTGTGGTACCCTGGTCCAGCAATTGTAAACCCAGGTGTACAATGCAGTGAGGATGCTCAAGCACCAGCTTGGAAACACTGATCCACTAGCCTGGATCCCACTGATCTGGATTTACGATGCAGTGTAGACACACCTTTAAGGGCTTGTCTACTCATGGACATTCAGGAAAGAAATTCAAACCTTTAGTTGATTTGGAATTAAAAGTGCATTAATTACAGCACATTAATCCCTGGGTGGACACTCATTCAGAATTTAAGTGGCCTTAATTTGGTTTTGTTCACTAGTGAATTAAGCTAAATTGAGAAAAGGTCACTTAAATTCTGAATGTGTGTGTACACTTAAGGATTTAATACAGTTAACTTTAAATTCACCCCATTAGTTAATTCAGATTAATTTTCCTTTGTCCCCAAGTAAACAAGTCCTCTCTCTACCATTTGCTAACAGGAAGAAACTGTTAGTCAAAAAAAAGGAAGAACAAAACTAAAGCAGGAATTGGGTATTGTCAGCATGTAGATAACAGTGGGAAAATAAGAGTTGAACAACAAGAGCAGCAACCGTAGCACATGGGGTTACAGTTGAGAAAACAATCGACAAACTGAAATAAAACTAAATGCTTTTATTACACTTTTTTTGTTTTGATTCTTTCTATCAGGTGGCAACAGTTTGTGTCAAGGACAAGATTTTCTTGACCCTTGTGAATAGGGGCTAATGCACAGGCTTGGAATCCATGGGGTTTTTTGTTTGTTTGTTAGTAAAGGTGTCATAGTTAGTTAATATATAAATTACGTATGAGCTTCCCAGATCAGGGTCAAGAATCCATCCGATTTGACCACATAGCTTGTTTACCCCCCTCTCGTGCCCCCGGTCTTGTTCTCAAATATTTGCTAGTTCTTCAGGGAAACTGATTAACTTGGAGGTCTGAGATTCCTCCACCTACCACTTCTCAGAAGAGAGTGTATAAACTGCTTTTTAAAACTAGACTGACTGAAGGAGAGAAGGCTTTGTCACATCACTTTCCCCACAAGATCTCCCAGTCCGCTACAGTTGCTATTTTTTACCATCTCTAGCTAGGCTTTCTTGATGGAAGAATCCCTCAAGGACATAAATCTAGAGTCTTGTTTGTAATAGCTCCAGTGACCAACTAAAAACTGGAATTACCCCACTCCATTCAAGAAAACCAAATTCTCTTGCACGGTAAGAGCGGGTGACCTGGACAAACAGGAACATAGAACACGGGACTAAGAGTTGATCAGTTGCTACTGATGTGGGTGTTTCGTTGACCTTCAGAACCCTCGTGCCACTGGTAACTTATGCAAGCATTGAGTAGAAAATGATTCACTAAATCTTTTTGAGACAAGGAAGAGTGTGCTCCTGAATCTCTTTCTGAACCCTCCTCTTTTGCCCCATGCCAAAAATTCCTCTCTCCCGATATTGACATAAACACAATTGTAACTCTTTCTTGTGGTGGGAGAAGGGAGGGGAAAGGACTTTGCTTGTTACATATGGTGGTGTTTTGATGTGACATTCTTTTGCTGACACTGTACTCTGTTTGCATTGTGCCCTACAGGTGTGGGGGTACAGTTGGTGCCATTGTTACATGTCCTTTAGAAGTAATAAAGACCAGGCTCCAGTCTTCAAGGCTAGCGTTCCGGACTGTCTACTATCCTCAAGTCCAGTTGGGGACGATCAGTGGGGAAGGAATGGTCAGGCCGTCATCTGTATCACCTGGACTTCTCCGGGTTCTAAAGTGAGTACAGCTCCTGTCATTCATAGCATCCTGTGCAACCAATGGACTTGACTCTGATTTCGTTGGCACTGGTTTTACACTTGAATGGTGTCATTCTGGATTCACACTGGTGTGAGATGGGAATTGGGCCTTATGTATTCAGCATCAACTGAAAAATTGAATTAACCTTTGCTTCCACAAGATGTATTTTTACCTTTGACTTTTCAAAGGAACTTATTTAAAACCGCACTGAGAAGTTTTCCAAAGAGTATTGGTTTGGATAAGTGTCTGGAGGTATTATTTTTAAATAGACTGATTGGCTCTAAGCTTTCCGGTAAGTATTAAGCCTCAAGGATCAAGAGTCGGTAGTATTCTCTTGCCAGATGATATGTATGTCAGCTTGCAGGAGCAGTATTAAAAATATGCCTTTCCTCTGTAGCATTCCCTATAGCTCAGAACATGTGGTTTCTTGCCCTGTTCATTCTTTTGGATTTCTCGTGTTTCTCAGTCTTTTGCACCTGAGCAGTGTGATGGGCAAGTCCTGCTGGCTAGGCCCCTGTCTTGGCAGTGTGACTGAAAGACTGAGTGAGCCACGGAGACAGAACTCCTCCTTCATCTCTGGAGCCAGTGTCAGTCCTAGTTCAGAGCCGGAGCAGCATGGGAGAAAAACCCTTTCATTGCAGCTACTCTGTGCTGTGTACCTGTTCTGGGGTCCGTGGGCTCCAAGACTGTCACTCTAACTGGGGTCTGCCCCACCCCTGTTTCAGGGAGTCGGTCCCTTTTGTTTTGATGGGCTGTACCCACCTTTCTAAAGTTTTGTAGGCCTCCCCTCCCGCCTGTGTGGGTGGGTGTTCAGTTGCTTTGATGGGCAGAATCCATCCATCAAATAGGCTGGGGCCTTGGCCTAAAACTCACTTTAAAAAAACTACTACCAAAAAAAAAAACCCTAAGAGCCCATCAAGTGGTGAAGAAGGGAAGAGTGTAAAGGCCATAGCGTGTGGTGCCTTGCATTGCTCGACTGGCACGGTGTTTTAGAGTATTAGGCTGCAGTTGTTTAATAATATTGGAATGGTCCAAACTAACCTCTGATCCCCTCTATGCTGGGGGGTGAAGGGGTGTGTAACACGCCGCTGCTCTGGGTTTGCAGGCAGTAGCACAGTGGTGTACACTTGGGATTGCTTTTCAAAGCAATCTATCCCGGTCTTTCTTTTGAGGCTTAGATTCTGCCAAAAACTGCAGAATTGGCAGCTTCAAGACTGAGCTTTTCTAGTGGCGCCCCGGCTGCCAGGTATCCTTTTCCCAGCCTCTTTGAAACAATAGATTGATAAAACTAACAATCCATTTTATACATTCAGAACAAGCTTCCTATCTTTCACGTTTGCCACATCATTCATGCACATCCCCCTTCTTACATTCCCAGCTACGTGCTTCAAATTAGATGAGACTTGGTTTCTGTCCAAGAACCTGAACTGATGCAAACAGGATCCAAATGATGTAATCTTGGCTCAATACCTGGGGATTGGCAGGTCTAGGGTGATCTTTTGAATTTGGAGGTCTTTCTGGTACAGGTAGGATGCTGGTGAATGCGTATAAATGAGGGCTTCTCTGCACTCTTATGAAAGGTGCTGATTGTGACATTCCACCCTGGAACTCATGGGGGAGGAGAAGGAAAAGGAAGGAGACAGCGTCTTTCACAAAAGCAGTCCAGCTAGAAAACACGGCATGAACTGTCCTCAGACAGCCCTATTCTTTCCTCCTTTTGTGCTATTTCTGACAGAGTGAGCAGTCTTCTGTCTGCTACTAATGTGTGGTTTCAGCCAGTGCACGTTACATGGTCATTCCTATATAAATCCTCAGCTGGGAGTTGGAACTCCCCCTGCATGTCCCTGTTGGAAAATTTCCAATGTTTGTCAGATGCCTCTGCAGACTGGTAGGAGCAGTAGTTTGTTCAGCCTAATCTTTTCGTGACATACATTCAACAAAAGAAGATTGGATCTAAGGCAAGCCAGTGCTCCCAAGCAAACAGTTTTGTATAGCCTAACCAATAACCCTGAGGCCCAGGCCTCGGTCTCTGCTGCTGCATTTCTGAAGAAAGCAAAGTCCAAGTCTAATCTGCACCAAGTTTGTGGATCTTTGCAAATAAATATTTGCACTTTATTTTAGTGCCATGATTTTTTTGTTTACATCAGGCATTTTGGTGCACCCCCCCCCCCCCCAAAAACGCCCAGCAAAATACGTTGGTTGATTTATGTAATACTGATAAATTTGGCACATTGCCCAGTGAAGCTGCATGAATTACATAACAATACAGTGGCAATCAAGTCCTCTGCAGAACTGTGTGGCTTGCGTCACATCACAACTTGAATCTTGTATTCTAGATGAGCAATTCTTCTCCCCCACCCCATCCTCCAAATGCCAAGACTCCCTTTATAATATTTTTTGTCAGATTGCTGAGTCTAGAGCAGTACACGATGCAAAACCAAGGTAACCGGAGCAAATCAGTGCATTTTGGATGCATCTAATTCCCCTCCCTCCTGCGACACAAAGCAATCCTGATTAAAAGGGAGTCCAATAAAACCATTTCAAGGTAGCCAGCTCTCCTGATAGTATTCACCCACTCTCATTTTCAGGGTTGTTCTTTGTGAGGAGAGAGAGAGTTGGATAAAACTGGGTCAGCCTTTTACCATCCTTATCGACTCATTAAAGTCAGTGTTTATGGTCTTGATTCATTTGATCTCGTTTCATTTCAGCAACTGCTCAAACTCAGTCACTTGCCTGGCTCCTTTTCCAGATGTCTGAAGCAATCTTGCAACTCGATCATACTGTTTGTCTTTCACAGACAATAAATTCTTCAGTGTCTATAATGATTGATTTTCATGTAGGACCTCAGTGCACTCTCCTAAAGCGACCGTGTACACTTGCCGCTCGCTCCCCTTTCCCAGTTTGGTGAAATCAGACCCCCTTGATGCTGCAGTTAACCACGACTTTGGCACATTCTCCAAGGAAAGTGTAAACGCCTCGCATGCTGCCACCTCCACCAAAGAAAGTTTTCAGAGACCACATTTGAAGCGCGTTTCTTATAAATAGGAGTGCGCTTTCCTTCCAAGACTAATTGCCTTCTCTATAGCAATATTGGATGAAGGAGTATAGAGGGAGCATGGATTTGTTCAGCATTTTTCTTAGTTATATCGTTGGAGTCACACTGTTCAGAACCTGATTCTTCATGATTAAGGCTACGTTGAGGTCACAGAAGTCACGGATTCTGTGATTTCCAGAGACCTCCATGACATTCTCTGCTTCAGCCGCAGGGGCCTCGGGACTGGAGCTGGCAGCCAGCGGCACCCAGGCAGGGTTCCAGCGACAGGTGACAGCAGTGACAGGGGGCCCCCTGCAAGGTTCCAGCAACAGGCGACTGCCTCCTGACGGGGCCCTCCTCAGGGTTCCAGCGACGGATGACAGCCTCGTGAGGAGGGGAGGGGCCCGCCTTGGGCAAGCGGCTGGGGGTGTCCCATTTTCTCTTTGGGAAATATGGTCATCCTGCAGCTCCCAAAGCAGGATGAAGAGCAAATTGGGTCTTTTGCATTAATTCCTTCTGCCCTTCTCTCCTGAAACTGCTGAGCTGGGGGTGGGTGAACTAGGTGCTTTGAGGGGTATCAGTAATTCCACTGAAAGGGAAAAAGCCTCCAGAGGCCTCTCTGGAAAATTGCTCCCGGGGAGTTGTGTATTGGCTATGAAAACACTGACTGTTAGAGCTAGAAAGAAAATAAATGCCCTGGACAGACCGGGTTAAACTTGCCTGTGGAACCTTTCAGAATGGAAAATGCTCCCAGAAGGGCAAGCTGCTTGTGTGCAAACCAGATTTTGGTGAGTCACCTCAGCTGGAAGCCACAGTCGTGACTATTAAAGTGACAAAGAACAAGCAATCCCTGGATCGGTTTCCTAGGAGACACTTAGCCTCGGAGTTTACACAGAATATTCGGCTCTGCTTTGGGGATGCGTTTCAGAAGCTTTCTAATGAGCTTGTTTTTGGGCTCTGCGGCAAACGTTGCCAGCAGCATTAATGACCTGGAAAGTAAACTTTGCAAAATGGGAGACTCCAACCAAAAGAATGGGCATGTGTGAAGGACCTTTGGAAGCAGGAGCTGTTTGAATTTCCTCACATGTTTTTCACATAAAGATTTTTTTAATAGGAGGGCCGCTACTGCCTCGCAGGTCACCGTACTAAAATCCAAAGCAGCTCCATGGCAACGTAGGTGGCTTTTGCTGATGGGTGAAATATGATCCATGGATACCTACTAGGGCTCAATCGTTATTTTCTTTCTTGTAAATGTCCCTCTGCCAAGGCTTCTTGCTTGGAATCAAACTCTCCACTAGGGACGCTTTTGAGCCAGACTTGTACAAAACTTGCAGGGTCCCCAGGGGGCCATCCAAATCATTTACCCTTTTTTATATTGGTGCCAGCTCATCTCACCCATTTGGGTTTAAACCATGGGAGGGAAAAACGACACTCAGGGTCAAGAATTTGGACTGATCTTCAGCAGTGTTGCCAACTCTCACTATATTTGGTGTCTGTCTTTAAGCTCCAGCTCTTAGTCTAGTGATTGGGACAATCTCAGCTTTCATTTTAGAAAAATACATTTCTGGCCATCATAATTGCGAAGAAAAGCTTGAAAACGTGATCCAGGTGTAACCTAAAGGTTCAAAACCCAGAAGGCAAAGAAAATGAATCCCAGCATTATTTTTTTTAAATCTCATGAGTTTTAAGGCAGACTTAAGCTCTGCAATATCAAACGCATGATTTTTTCAATGCTCGGAATTGACAATACTGGAACTGCAGTGTTCTGTGCGTCCGCTTAGGAGGCCTAAACCAGAGTGTGTAATGCCTGGTCAGACTAGACGCCTAGCTGCATAATAGGGGTTATGTGCTTCCCCTTGGAAGTAAGAATGTGTAGGTTCCCGCTTCTGGAAACTAGTCCTTATCCTCCCCCCATGCTCAGACCATGTGTTCTTCTCCTGTTCCTCTTTGTCCCCCCAAAATACTCTCACGGTCATCCAAAAAGAGTGTGTGTGGCAGTTCCACTATAGTCTGTATCTCCCCATTCCTCCCATTTGGGGAAAACTGCATGGTTCTCTGATTCTCACGGGAACCGGGCTATCCCTGCGTGGAAAGGTTCCAAAGCTCAGTGTCACTCCCACTGCAGAGGGGGTAGGGAACACAGCCTCCTATGCTCGTTAGCCCCCCACTGGTGACCCATTTGAAGGGATGGGGTGCACCGTTTAGCAAGGCCTCTCAACCCCACACACCTTTGCTTCTCAATGAAATCTCCACTTCCCCACAAAAGCAACCCCCTGAAGGAATAGCTGTGAGAGAATGAACGCTTTTTTTGTCTTTCAGAACTGACTTATCTTGTGATCTCCATTAACTTTTTAAATAACCCAGTTCCCAATAGCTTTCAAGCAATTGAGCTATTAAGCTGCTCTCATATGACACAAATGCAGATTTGTCTGTAATACCCCTAAGATCTATCGCATTAGCTTGCTTTTTCAAGCCAATAGCTAAATCAGCCAGCTTTCTGCCAAAGAGCACAGCCTGATAGCGAATAGGTTAGTTTTTTAATACTGTTATCTTTTACCACAGTTCTCCTGGTTTGTGACTGATGGTTATTGTCTACCGGAAGAGGTAGTCAGTGATCTTGCATTTTTATTTTTTTAGGTCAATTTTGGAGAAAGAAGGACCAAGGTCACTCTTCCGAGGATTGGGTCCAAACTTGGTTGGAGTGGCGCCATCAAGGTAAAGATCTTAAAGGGTTCAGTTCATATTAAAACAAAAAAAAAGGTTCATTTTAAGGCTGTGGCACAAAGATTGTACTATGCATATTATAAATGCTCTGTTTTTATTAAACTAGTTTAAAAAATGCCCAAATGGTTCATTTATGAACTAACTGCTGGCCAGTGATAAGAGCACATAGTCTAGTAGGCAGGAGACCTGAGTTCTAATTCCAGCTCTGTCACAGATGTACTCAGTGATTTGGGACAAGTTGCTTAACTTCTGTATACCTTAGTTACCCCATCTGTGAAATGGGGCTACTGAAGCTCTTTCCTTTTTGTAAAGGAGTTGCAGATCTATGGATTGAAAAAAGTGCCATGCAAGTGTGACGCAAATAAATATATTAAATTCAAGCCATTATTTTTGAGGTGTGCACGTCAAAGCTGAGTGTGAATTAATCTTATTTAGTACTTGCCTAGCACTTTTCAACTCCTTGTCTGTTTCCTTCTCCCTGGGAAAAGGTGTACCAGCAGACTGAAAGCGAGTGCCTCTGTTTACAGCGCCTAAAAATCTGGCTTCCTCTGGCATTTTTATTGGCTTCTGTACATTTTGTTTCTCTGTGTGTGTATCCAGGCTGCTCCTTATGATCTTTGCTTTTCATTATCCGTTTCACACACTGTTTTCACGTAACTGATCTGCAGAGAGGGAGCTTGAGATTGGTGGAGTATTGCATAAAAAGAGGGGTTTCTGTTAGTACAAGAGTCCATTTTTTATTTTTGTTTAAAGTATGTAGACTGAACCAGGTTTTTAAATGAATATCAAGAATAGGTGACTTGCTGGGCATAGACTGGGAAAATAGAAATATGGGGGTGCAAAAAAATCTGCAGACTCACGTTAACACATTATCTAGCACTGCCCTGGGAGTATCTGAAAGTACTGTTTAAATATGGAGTAAGTTTCACAGCACCCCCAGGAAGATGGCATCTAGGGAAACGGGTGCAGATTGGTTAAGCAACTTACCCAGAGTCACTCAGTGTGCTAGTGGCAGAGCTGGGGTTAGCCACCTAGCCGCTGGGAGCACCCTTCTCAAGCCAGGTAGCCAGACATGCGCTAGCTCTGCTCAAGCGAATGCGCTTAAAAATAGCAGTGTGGATGTTGCGGCACAGGTTAGCCAGCCCGGTACAAACCCATCTGACCTTTATGAGTCCAAACTCGAGTGGCTTAGCAGCATGGATGTTGCGGCATGGGCTATTTTTAGCACACTAGCTCAAGCAGAACTAGTGCATGTCTGTCTCCCTCGGCACGGGGAGACATTCCCAGGTGCAGTGTAGACATACCCCCTGACTCCTCAGTCCTGTGCTCTGTGTGCAAGACTACGCTACTTCCCATTCAGGATTTAATTGGCCAACTTCACGAGGCCTAGGCTCAACTTGATGGCATTTTGTTTGTCTATGTATGTAATGCAGTAACTGTTCGATGCTGCATCTGATCAATTGCAAAACTTCTATTTGAGGGGAAATTGGAAAACCAAAAGGGGGAAAACAAGGGACATGGGGAGCCCTGACTATCTGTTTAAACTAGCCACAGCTTCAAGCACCTCTGCACTGATCTACAGATAAAACTGATCAATGGCACCTATTAACGCTTTCCAGGATAGCAATACCTGTATTTCATCTGTGTTGATACCCTGAATGATTTATCTCCCAGACAGAAAGACCGAAAAGAAAGCGGGGGAGAGAATCAGGCATGCACAGAGCCCTGGCATGGGGGGAAAGAATGGGACCCTTGCAAAGGGGAAATGGGGAGCACACAACACCTGGTGGAGGGGAAATTGGAGGATCCTAGTTTGGGGGGATAGGGGTGTACACAGAGCCCCTGCCATGGGGAGGTAACACTCTGAACCCCTGGGTGGTGGGGAGGGGGGAGTGGGAGGAATGGGGGGTAGACACTCTGCCAAGGGAGGAATGGGGGGGACCCTTGGAGCCCCTGGTGGCAGGGGGGAGATTGAGAGGGAGGAATGGGGGGCAGGCAGAGCCACTGGCATTGAGGAGGTGAAAGAAGGACATGGGAGTTAGAGCCCTACACGTAAGGGAGCAGTGGGGAAGTTGCAGGGAGTCCCTGAAATAGAATGGGTGGAATGGAGGAATGCAAGGAGTCCCTGATGTGCACAGTGAGCTTGGCTCACAGAAGCTATGAATTGCACGATGCCCTAGTGGCTGTACAGGCAGGCATCCTGGTGTAGGTTGGCAGGCTGAGTCCTTGCAGATGGAAACAATAATGTTGAGGCCCTTCTGAGATCTACCTCGTTGGTCTGGACTATGGGAGGAAAGCAGTGACTGGTTTGAATTGCATGTCTGTAGATTATCCTCTGTAGCGAGTTCTTCTCTTCTTCCTGGCACAGGGCGGTCTACTTTGCATGCTACTCCAAAGCCAAGGAGCGATTTAATGGCATTTTTGTGCCCAACAGCAACATTGTGCACATTTGCTCAGCAGGCTCTGCAGGTATGTTATCGCATGGAGGGTGTCCCTTTGTCTCCCGGGCTATCTTGCCATAGTACAAATGTGCTTCCAGAAACGGGTTACCTGTGTCAATCCTACTTCAGAATCAGTCACGCACCATTTCCACTCCACTCCCAAGAACCTCTTTATAGAGGGCAATGAAGAAGTTTTATCTATCAGATCCTTAATTCTTTCAACATGGTACTCTGTATAGTATAGGTGCCATCTAGGGCTGTCTCAAGCACATTTCCCAGCTAAAGCAGTGGAAAATGTTGGCAATGAAGCATAAAACAGGGAACGATGTTTGTATTAGTACCCTGCACAATGGCGCCTGATATGGTAGCATACCAAGGTATCAATCAGAACACAAATGAAAACCGAAGCTGCGTATTATAGTGCAAAAATGCCCAGATCTTTCTGAAAATGTTCATTTGGTCTCCCTGGGTTTGTGCACCCACTGTGTTGCTGGGTCTCACCACGGAGAAGGGCATTCTTTCTAAGAAACCTTTATCCAGCAAATGATCTCCATAAAAGATTGAGATCAGGAGTGGTGGCTGAGTTCATGAAACCATGATGGGCAGGGCACCTCCTAAGGAATCAAAGTTCAGGACTGTTGAAAATCAACTCTGCTGGACCAGAAACGTCCAGTTCTCTTCAAAACAGGGAGGCAACTTGGCAAGTTTCTCTACGGATTCTTAAGGAACCCCTCTTTGCAGAACTAGAAGTTAATGTTCATGCAGAGGCTTAGTCAAAACCTGATTTCTGCAGCTCTCCACTTACACAACTGAGTATCAGTTTCAACCAGGGAGGAATTAATTCCAAACAAGGGTTGTTTTTACCAGTTGTATAACATAGTTGTGGGAAGCTTTGACGAGGACACTTTCAAAGTCACCGTAAAGTATTTGGAAGGGGGGAAATAAAACTCTAGAGGAGCCTGCAATGCGAATACCCACGTAAGATTTGTACATGCTGTAGTCACCCCACATAAAGAAATGCCTAACTACTGGCATACCGCAGAGGGTCCAATATGTCTCAAATTCTGAAGCGTACTGGATGGGTTACCCAGTGGAACAAGGAATTTAAGCTGGGATTTTCAAATAAGCCTATGGGGCTTTCCAAGGGAGATGGGCACACAACTCCCTTAGGCCTGCTCTGTCGACATAGTTACACAAGTAAAACAATGTGGGGGGGAAGAGCAGGGGAGAATTGTAACTATTTACTGGAATACTTAAGCTGGTATAGCTCCTAGTGTAGGCACAATTATACCAATATAAAGATGTCTTATTCTGGACTAGTTTATTCTCCTTCCCATACAGGAATAATATTTACCAGTATAAACGCATCCCACTAGGGGGCTTGTAGTGCTAGACTCTACCGGAATAGTTCAAGCAGTACAGCTAGTGTATAGACAGGGCCTTGGGCTCCTTTGACAATCCTAGTCTTAAAGAAATGTTACCCTGTTATAGACCAAGCACTGCAGTTCTTGAGCAATGACCAGCAGTGTTTCATCGTTCCCGGGGAAAGAAAACCATTTGCGTGTTGTTATAATTATAAGTGCCTTTGAAATTGTGACTTAAAGATTTAGGGGTGGGAAGAAGTGAAGTTACTAACGTCTCATGCGGTACTATATTGAGTGAGTGTGCTAGTGCTGAAGTATATTTCATCTTATGTAGGAGCCCTTTTACTATGGAAAACTTTGTGTATGTTTCTTCTGAAAATAAGTTTGCCATTTGCAGACCAGAAGGAGGAGGATGTTCTAATGATGCTCTTGTGAACAATAAGGAAATGTGCACTTTAATGGAAATCAGCCAGTCCTCAATCATAATAGTTTTTAGACTATATTCTTTTTAGTCTCTCTTTTTGTCCGTGTTGGGAAGGTACGTTGCTATTCTGGGAAAACTTACTGCAGGATGACTGCACCAGCTTACTCAGACCTAAGTCACCGAACTGCCCATTAAAAACCATTCTCAAATTATCTCAAGCATGGATGGGTTCAGTTAAGGAGATGGCTCAACAGCACCACCTAGGGTCTTGGACTATCTGGTATGGATGATTGGTTCATGGATTTCCCTGTATCTCTAAGGATAAGTTAAACCCATCCATAAATATTAAATCTCATAGAAGGCTGTTTACAGTAACATGGGCTACATAATCATACCATTCCTTAGTGCTTCACAAAGTCCTATGGTAAAGAGAATGAATACCTCACAAGGGGAACTTGCTTTGATTCTGTAGCAATGTGTTGGTTCCAAACTGACTGACTGACTCCCTCCCTACACTTCCTGTTCTGAAATCTCTAAATAGAAACTTGCCTATGGGACTACAGAGCATTAAAGCTTAGCAATTGTCATGGTTATTGCAGCAACCAATCCCACTTGATTACGCTGTTTTTTTGTTTTTTCTGTCTTTCAGCTTTTGTCACAAATTCCCTGATGAACCCTATATGGATGGTGAAAACCAGAATGCAGCTGGAGCGGAAGTAAGCGACCAAGAGAAATTGGTGCCATCTTAGTTAAGAGGGGCTCCAAAACACACATTCTTGCCCATTCCATCTATGGCTCTGGCATCACTGATGCCTTTTCCTATTCCCTGTCCCATTCAACTCCCAGACCCTTTGAGTCAACGTCCTGTTAGATGACCAGGGTACAGCTTAAGCCTATCCGTGTTGTATCTTAATTTGACAAGAGAGGTCACTACTGAGGAGGGGAAGGGTGGTCCAATTGGTGCTAACTTGGGACTCAAGACCCACGTTCAGTTCCCAGCTGTACCCCAGACTTCCTGTGTAGCCTTGGACAAGTCACTTAGTCTTTCTCTCTGCCTCAGTCCTCCATTTTCCCCACCTCACACACCGTGGTGGTGTTGAACCTAAATACATGAAAGATTGTGAGGCACGTGGATACTTTGGTAATGAAGGTCACACAAGTACCTAAGTGAGAGACTCAGGCAGGGCTCAACGAGGGAAAGGTCAGGACTGAGCATCCAATCTGTGTCCCCTAGATGACAATACAAGGCACTGACATGGGCTCTAAATCATACAGAAGTGGATTTTATATTCTCTTAGGCTAGTTCAGTAATGCAGGACCCTCCATAACTGCCCGCTAGCTACGTTCTGAACAATGTCAAGTTTTTTAAACTCCTATAATTGAAGCTGTTTTATTGCCATTATACTGTTCTATGAAATTAGAGTCCCCTTCAGGCGTTTAAAGTCCTTTGGCTCGCCTTCAGTACCTTATTACTCCTAACCATATGTCCTAGAGAGAGAGAGAGAGGATAGTCTTACGTAAAAATTGATAGTAAAATCTTTGAGCTGAATGATTCACAGTCACTGTCACTAATGGATGTGAAAGCTATGAGGGATTGTACCACAGCGAGAGCTTTGCTATAGTTAAGGTTACATTAATAATGTGACTTTTAAAAATAGATTTTAGCGTTTTTTTCCCCCTGGGAATATGTTGGGTGATAGATCAGAAAGATCCTTAAAATACCGAGATTACTCACCAAGAAGTATTTGAAAATATGTTGGTTTACGCAGCTTATAAATTACTTAAAAAGCTTAACTCCAGTAAGTCACTAGGTGGCACCTTTGAACTAAATGCTGCTTGTTACCTGAAGAATCATTCCACATACAGACCTTTGTCTCTGGCCCTGCCACAATCAGACCGGAAGGAAATTGCTAGTTCAATAAAAAGCAATGCTCTTTCCATAGTGCTGTTATTAAAGCACTAAACCAGGGGTCGGCAACCTTTCAGAAGTGGTGTGCCGAGTCTTCATTTATTCACTCTAATATAAGGTTTTGTGTGCCAGTAATACATTTTAATGTTTTTAGAAGGTCTCTTTCTATAAGTCTATAATAGATAACTAAACTATTGTTGTATGTAAAGTAAATAAGGTTTTTAAAATGTTTAAGAAGTTTCATTTAAAATTAAATTAAAATGCAGAGCCCCCCGGACCAGTTGCCAGGACCCGGGCAGTGTGCGTGCCATAGGTTGCCTACCTGTGCCATAGGTTGCCTACCCCTGCACTAAACTATGACGGGGAGCCAGGACTGGAGCTGGAAAGATTAGCACAAGCATGTATTATCTGATTGGAAAAGCCAAATGTGCACATTTAGCATTACAGTCCTGCTACTGGCATTTGAAATGTGACTACAATGCCAAAAGCAATGAAAGGAACATTAAAAGTCTCTGCACGGCATTCCTAGAAAATTCCTGCCGCTACACTTAGCAGAGAGCCATTCTTGTTTCTCCTGGGTCACTTTTCATTTGTAATGTCTGTGCAGTTTTTTGAACCTCTGAGTTTTGCCTTGTTCTAACCCTGTTTTAATTTGCTCCCTTTAGAGTCAGGGGTTCAAAGCCGATGAATGCTTTGCAGTGTGCTAGATACGTTTACCAGACAGAAGGGGTCCGTGGTTTTTACAGAGGCTTGACGGCCTCGTATGCTGGGATTTCGGAGACCATTATCTGCTTTGCTATTTATGAAAGTTTAAAGAAGCACCTGAAGGACGTCCAGCTGCCCCCTTCCCCTACTAATGGGACCAAGAGGACCTCCACAAACTTTTTTGGACTGATGTTTGCTGCTGCTGTTTCTAAGGGCTGTGCCTCCTGTATTGCTTATCCGCATGGTATGTTAAACTCCTCATTTACCAGTTCAGTAGAACAGCTGTTGCCTTTAGTCTGTATCAATCTATGGCTGACAGTGCGGTCATATTCTTATTAATCTGGATGTCTACAGATGCCATGTTACTGCAGTGACTGTCTATGTACCCAGATCTTCAGCATTGTTCCCATTACCCCAAACTAGCTAAACAGCTAATTGCTGAAGGAGGTTTGCTACAGAAAGCTAACTCTTCTCTCTCCCTCCCTGGTTCTCACTAGTAGCCTCATCCAGCTCCTCACAGGCTCTTTGGAGCACGAGTGTGTTTGTTTCATTTTTATTACCTCCAGTCATTTATGCAGCACTCAAAGTGAGCGAAGTGTTTTACAGAACAAGTAGACTATTGTTTCTGTCCTGAAGAGATGCAACGAGAGAGAAAGGGCTGGGAAATGACAAGGTTGCGGCATTTTGGATTGTGTGTGTCATTATGGTTAAATTAGGTGCCCATCCTACCTCTTGTAGGCAGCTCAGCAGAGGGGTTTAGCAGGGATTTGGCCAAGCCATCATCACCCTCCCCTCAGACAATGAAAATTGATGGGTATTCCACACAGAAGGGGTAGTATGGAGAAAGATGCTGAAGTGAGAGATGGAAACAGGGCAATGAGGCTGGCTCTAAAATGCCAATGATTCTCTTTTTCCTTATCCAGCAGTATTTTTTTATTCCGCTGTATGCTGTGCTTTATGGAAAAATCAGTCTGATTCCCGGCACATCTCTCTCTGCCAACTTCTCTCCTTCCTTTTAAAATCAAAGCCCTAGATAGTGGCTGTTAACATGGCTTGAATTCTTAGTCTGATACCCTTAGATGCTACCATGAAATGCCACTCTGGGCTTTTATCTCATTCTTGGCACTAACTTTTAGGCAACAGATCACATCACAAATGGAAAAGAGCGGGGGGAGAAAAAGACCATGAAATCCAATTCACCAAACCCTTGACTAATTCTATTCCAGGCCTTTCTCTTCCTTTTTAAATTGTCCTCAGTACCTTGTTTAATGGATGCATCTACATACAGATTTCATATTGCCATCAATGTTCTGAATCTATGAGAAGCCTTTCTCTATCACAGCGCTCCAGACAGATTATATGAGGCCAGTTTTTCATTGCAACTGTACAGAAACTGTTTTTGACTTCCATCATACCTGAACAGTATATAAATTAATGTGCAAATGAGTCAGGTAAGAAAAAAAAATCTAGGGTGACTTGGCCAAAGAGAGCCTGCCTTTTGGAGAAGGCGTGTTTTGATTTATACAAATTACAAGTGGCTCCTAAGGCAGTAGGTGCCGCTGCCATAAAGCTAAACAGCCCACACACCGTGCAGATCCTTCCCCCACAAATCTGATTCCTCTCCAAGGCCGCCCACCACAGCAGCCCACACAAATTGATGCACCTTGCAAGCTGTTCTGACGTTCAATGGACCCCAGCTATTTTGGAGCAGAGGAGGAAGCTTGTTTCAGAGGTCCAGGCCCCTCACAGAAAGCACTGTACTGCAAGCCGCCTCTCAGGTTCAATCAGTTGGAATCCCGCCCAAGTGCATCGGTTGATCACAGCTATGGCCTTGAACAACACCATAGCTGTGCCAAATCAAAAGTGGCTTCCCTCCATTTCATGGTAAATGCCACCAAGCCGCAGCTCACCCCATACGCCAGTTTGAGGAGAGCACAGACCTACTTAACTGTGCACCCTCTTTCCAAAGCACAGTGTGAGGAAGGTGAGCAGAAACAGAGGCGTAACAGCCCTCATAAGCAAGCCATCCATTTATTGTGCAGTTTGGTGTTACATGGACCAAATTTTAACCTCCTGCCTTGTCTGGCAAGCAGTGTCTGCGACTCCAGGGTTTGTAAGTGTAGGTGAGCGGATTATCCAACAGGAATCTCCCTTGTCCAGGGTAAGGTTCTGATTGCCCTGAGCTATGCAGGCTCTTTCCTAACCTGTAAGTGTTTTTGGGCTGGGGGATTTGACTGGAGACACTAACCTAGTGCTCTGTTTGTTTCCCCCCTTCCCCCAGAGGTCATACGGACAAGACTGCGAGAGGAAGGCACAAAATACAAGACTTTCTTTCAGACGGCTCGTCTGGTAGCACGTGAGGAAGGCTACCTGGCTTTCTATAGAGGACTCTTTGCGCAGCTCATCAGGCAGATACCAAACACAGCCATTGTGTTGTCCACCTATGAGCTAATTGTGTACCTGTTGGAAGACCACACTAAGTAGCAGAGCCAGGGAGCATCCTCTGGAAAATAAAAACTGACATTGAGCAAATAGCCATTAAGAGACTGATGCAGGTGATGAAGATGGAGAATAGCTATGAGTCTCTGATCACCTGCTGGACACTTTTCCTTTTGGATTCATGCTTTCTGGAAGGTTTCAACTCATTAACGTTAATAGTTAATTATAACTTTTTAACTTAAGGAGAGATGATTCAGAATTAAACTGCTACTAAATTAAATCATGCTATTTAATTTGTATGTTTTGGTTGTCCTTTTCTTTAAGCCCAGGTATATGTGGCATATATGTACCTGTGCTATTGAGAAGTTTCTTGGATTGATAGTCATTAAAACTGTATTGAAGTGGGAGAGGAACTGGTTTGGAGTCTGAAACTGAGACCTCCTACTACTGGTGTCACAAAATATCATTTTCCAATAGTATTGAGTCCTAAGACCTTTCAATGTGCTTCGTGGCTGATTCATGGGTGTAATATTCATCACCCATGTGAGCTTTCAGAATGAGGTACTGAGCACAGTGAGGCAGCCTTGTAACACGCAACTTGACCAGTATAAAATGTTCATGCTGGAATCTCCTGGATGAGCCACTGTATTGGAAGACATTCCTGTAAAGGTTAAGCAAAATAGCTTCCCTGAGAGAAACTTAAACTATTCATGGGAGGGCACCTAATTGAATGTTTGCATCATTTAAGTCTTCTCTAATCTATTACTTTCCTCATCTCCAATGGTGACTTCTTCTTTTCTGAATGGCATGGGTGAATCGGTACAAATTCTTCAAGATATGAAGTCAACTCTAGAGCTCCACTTTCTGGTGCAATATTTAGGAGTTAAACCGTTTTAATTGGTCATCAATAATTATTAATCTGACTTGCCCCTGAGGAACAGCAACTTGATTGGAATGCAATCATGCACATCTTACCTCCTGATAACCCTTGCTACCTCACTGGGCTAAGTAAAAATCATATAAAGCTATGTAATGAGACTTAAGGAAATAATGTATAAAGTTAAAAATGGAGAGATACAGATCTCCTACTCCAGTACAACCTATTGGACTGTTCTCACCCCACTTCATGTAGGTTCAGTAATCTCAAGTGCTCCAAAGAGACCAGATTGAATGGTTCCTCCCCCACCACTTTGGTCCTCTTTCACTACTAGTCAATGACATAGCTTCTGCCTCTCAATTTTAAATTACACATTGTGCATTAGCTCTAATCCTTTCATGGGGCTATTGAAATGTGCTTATACTTATACAGTCGTTTATATTGTTGTAGCACCCAGTGGCCTAGATATCACTGTCCAGGTATAATTGCTGGGTGTTTCTGGATAATTTTGGGGGGACTTAAAGGGTTACATTTGCTTTTGCCTTTTGGACTGACCACTATGTTCTTGTACCCATTAGTGTAATTTGCTTTGACAGCTGAGACAAATGCTGCAATGCAAGACAGATCATCTTCTGTCTTTTCTACAGCTGAACTGAACAACTGAGCTGCCTGTGACTTCAGCAGGTGTTGAATTCTTGGGCATATACCAGTGTTTACTTCGCTAACTTCACCAAGAAGCAAACTCAGACTTGGGAGGGTGTTACAAATTGTTAGGAAAAAGCCCATGAGTGAGGCCAGGGCTCTAGAATCCTGTCTGCTTGTAAAAAGCTAATGAGAATAAGCATGATGGTTAGAAATGTGATTACTGACCCACTCTGTGTCTGTAACAAAATGCCAGTCTGGATGCTAACAATTAAGCCCATATTGAGGACAATTGCAGAGGTAGGAGGAAAGTGAAGCATATGTACCCTACAGATGACGCCCAATGTAACTATAGAAGAATTTATTAAATCCTGCAGAGGTTCATTGGAAAGGAGATAATGTAACATTTGTTTGAATTTAAAATGAAACAAATTGAAAGAGTTGAATAAACTAGAAATTGTGAAAGGACTCTTCTAATAGTTTTGTTTCTTGTCTCTCTTTAAAACCTTTGTGGGAATCAAAACTGTCAGTTCTGAAACCAAAAGATTTTTGCTGCTTATTCCTTCAAAACTTGAATCTGAGATCTGCTTCCTTAAACTGTTCCGGTTTTTCATGTACATTGGCTCACTTTTACAGCATTAGTCAAGTGTCTGGGCTGCTGGTGCCTCCCTTTTAGAAAAAGGGGAATTAGTGGCTTGCTTGAAAGGCTCAAAACTTGAGATTACAAAAAGGGTTTTTTAAAATAACTAAGCCTGTTCAATAAGGTGTTTTGGGTTTTTTTTTATTCTAATGACCCTGGCAAATAATTTGATGGGGACTGAACATACTATGTTGATAGCTGTTGGAAGATCAATTCAAGTTTAAATTATTCCCTTCTCTTTACACTAAAATCCAAAAAGTTCAATAAAAGTCTAAGGCCCTAATCCTGTAAAGATTTATACACATTTAACGTCACGCTTTGTGAGTAGTCTCTCACTGAGGTCTGCTTCTGTAAGTCTTAACTCCATTATCGGAGGGAAGGACTGGAAATAGTTCAAGGGACAGCCACGTTAAAATACCCTAAAAAGGCAGGGGATTCCTTTTTTTGCGGAGATGTTTACTGTTTTTTTCACAATTGATGCGGTCTTAATTTTTAAAAATTCATTCTGTTTCGGCAATGAAAATATACTAGTCGATTGTGTTTCACTTCCAGGTTCTTGCTTCGTAGCACCATATTGCAAATACTGGGTAATATCCTGGCCCCACTGAAGTCAGTGGCGAAACTCCCATTGACAACAGTGAGGCCAGGATTTCACCCATTGTAGGAGAATGGTTAAAACAAGCTGTACAGGGGTTCAGGATGCCAGTTCCTGTAAGTCTAATTTTTGTAATAGCTGATGGAACTGATAGGGACTGTTGGGATCTGGGGATCCAGCTACAGGTGAGAAGATGGATCATGGCTCCTCACAAGGCTGTTGGCATGAGTGGTTATATATTACGGTAGTGCCTAGAGGAAGTGGTCAGTCTTCATTTGTCATTTTTTTCCTCCTCTGAAAAGTAGTGGATTTCCTCCAACTTTGAAGATTTTTAGTCTTTATTCACTCCATTCTCTATTCCCCTTTTCTTTTATGTTCTGCCTTATCCCCATCTGTCTTTGTGGTCCTGCTTCATATCACTTCTCGGCTCTCTATTAGCTGAGGGGTGAAAACATTAGTACTCACATGGAAGCAGCCTTGCTTCATAATTATGAAGCAGGAATCTCTTGTACAGTTGAAGAAAAAGGAGGCAGAAATTATAAGCGACTTGACCAATGCCAGAAGGAGGGAGTGTGTCAGAGCTATGATCAGAATACGGGTGTCTCAGCCAAATTTTTTGATTGTCCATTGGTTCTGGGTGCCCAGTTTTTGAAACAGCTTGGTCTTTGGTTTTCAAAATTGCTCACACATGGAATTCCAGTTGATGTCAGTGGGAACTGTGGGTACTTAGCACCTCTGGAAAATTAGGCCAAATATGGGTGTCCAGAAGTTGAGAAACATAAAACTAGTGCTGGTTTCTTAAAAGCAGCCCCTCTTGTCTATCCTAGGCTGCACCTCTCTATTGAACTGACCCTCTTTATAGCCAAAGGCACAACATTTGCTCAGCCAAAGAGCTGCCCCACTTACAGCCAGCCAGAAGCAGCAGCCCAGGTGCCACTTGCCTTTCACAGCCGCAAACTGGGCTGAGGTACTGTGACAGAGTCCTGGGCAATAGCACCTATTGAGTTTGGGGAGAGGGGAGGGGGAAGGAAACAAGCCTGCCTGTATCAGAAGGCCCCTCTCCCAGCCTGGGAGGAGGAAGCACTAAATCCAGGGTTCAAGTAAAGGCAGGGGACAACGGATGAGGAAACAGGGTCACAAGGTCAAAAGCAGGGAGCCAGAGGGGTGCTGGGAAATAATATCTGAGCCAGCACTCTGGTCACTGCTGCTCTAATCACTGACTCCTGAGCAGACCTCATTAAGAGGAGCTGTGCCTAACTGAATGGACTGAGGATTGAGAGACTAATCAGGCCATTAGGCAGATGGTACAAAAGGCACAGGAAGAAAGTGGGATGGGAGAAACTGTTATTCCCTGCTCGCCTTCGGAGCAGAGGGCTCCATAGGACTGGAGGGAGGATATAGAGGTGGTGCAGAGGAATATTGTAAATAAACTGCACTGTGGGTGTTTTACCTGAAAAAGGTCTCTGAACTGTGTGTGAAGTTGAGCAAGGCAGGGGAGAGAGAGGGCCCTGCCACACATGGGGGCTTGTCTGGGATCTTAGCCAGCAGGAAGGTTTGGCGGCCTGGATGATGGAGGAGACCCTGCAATTCCTGGTAAAACAGCAAGAAGAAACTGAGAAGACCCTGCAAAGTTTCCAACAATCCTATCACATGGAGAGGCAGGCCTCACAGCAGAAAAGCTTGCAGGATTTCATAAGAAAACAAGCCAACATATAGCAGCAGCTCCGACAGAAAGTGGTGAGTCCTATGATGGGGGATGGTAACCAGACACAGGGCCTAGGGCCTATGTAAGATGGGCCCTGCTTATGATGCTGATGCATTCTGGGCACTTTTGAGAGGGTAGCTATGGGTGCAGGTTGGAATAGGGAGCCAGCCTCAGGGCCCAGGTTCCCCTATCTGTGGGGGAAGCCCAAGTGGCCTATATGGCTCTGAATGAGGCTCAGGACAGGAATTACAAGGCAGTGAGGGCAGCCATCTTGGAGCAGGTCGGACTGTCCACTGAAAAGTGCCACCGAAAGTTCTGATCTGCAAGGCGGCCTGGGGGTTTATGGTCCTGGGCATTCACCCAAAGGCAGACTGACTGGGTCATCGGCTGGCTGAGACCATACACCCAAACTGTAGGGGAAATAATGGGAGCTCTGGTGCTAGAAGAGTTCCTTCAGGGCCTTCCTGAGAACATACGAGTGTGGGTCAGGAAGCATCTACCAAGTTTGATGGATTCCGCCGTGATATTAACTGAGGCATGCACAGAGGTGGACTTTCCCAGGAAAGGAGGACAACCGTATAGGGGTCTGGAGCATGGGAGGCAGACCAGAGACACTCAGTAGGAAGGGAAGAGAGAGACAGGTGACAGGGACACACAAAGGGGTTGCCTGTACATGGACTGTGGTTTGGTGAGTTTTGTAGCTGGGCTGGAACTAGAGAGAAGCAATGGACAAACTGTCTACACTTCAGTTATGGTGGGGAGGAAACTCAGGAGGGGCCTTGTGGTTACAGCCTCAGCTTGCTCCCTGGTCTGGAGGGACCTGGTGAAGTCTTGCTGGATGATTCTAGGACAGTGGTTCTCAAACTTTTGTAGTGGTGACCCCTTTCACATAGCAAGCCTCTGAATACGACACCCCCTTATCAACTAAAAACACTTTTTTAAAAATCTATTTAACACCATTATAAATGCTGCAGGCGAAGCGGGGTTTGGGGTGGAGGCTGACAACTCGTGACCCCCCATGTAATAACCTCACAACCCCCCGAGCAGTCCCACCCCCCAGTTTGAGAACCCCTGTTCTAGGAGCAACTATGAACATAGTGAGTCCATGAAGATAAGAGGTGTTGCCTTATGGCCTGGGTGCCCCTTGAGTTTCGTGGGAGGTTTTGTTGGAAACAGGTCAAGGTAGTGGACGGGCTGCCCTATCCGGTTGTATTGGGCACTGACTGGAACCCCTTCCCAATAGGGAAACAAGGTGGTATAGGGAATCCCAGGATGGGGGAAAGGAAGCCAGAGGGGAGAGAAAAGAGAATGAGTCTGAAGGAGAAGCCATAGAAGCCTCTAGACAATAAAGCTTAAGTCAGAAGGAAAGGAGAGACCTTTGGGAAACTGAGGTTGCGGGGATAGGAATTGAGGAAGGAGGTACAGGGGGAAATAGCCCAAACTCCTTAGTAGAGGTTGGGGGATCTATGAAGTCGCTTGCCACACAGCCCTAAGGAGAAAAACCTAGGCATAGTTTTGAGGGTTAGGAGAACCCGAGGCCCTGAGTGATCAGGGGGATAAAGGGAGTAAACTTGATCCACTGCCAGATACAAAGGGAGATAATCTTGTGAGCAATTCCCCCAAGTGCCCATGGTGTGAAGACTTGTAGGCTAAGCCTGAGCTGTGGGGGTATCCTCTTCCCCTGAAGTGTGATTTCTGTGGGTAGAGACTGACCAGACTCCACAAGGGTGACCCAGATGATCACCCGAGGGATAGAGAGACTCCACAGGGAGGCACCTCCGGTAAGGGAGGGAGAGTGGTGGGGGGAGGGGGAAGAGGTGTGTGACAGACTGCTGGGTACAGCAGCTCTAATTCATTACTCCAGAGCAGACCTCATTAAGAAGAGCTGTGCTGAACTGATGGACTGAGGAGAACTGAGAGGCTAATTAGGCAGAGGGTACAAAAGGCACAGGAAGGAAAGAAAGCGCTTTTCCCTCCTTGCCCCAGGAGCTGAAGGTTCTCCAGGACTGTTGGAGTTATGGCACAGTATAGAGTATATGGGTAGTGGAAACTAATATTGTAAATACACTGCACCTGGTGTTTGACCAGGAGAAAGGTCTCTGAGGTATATGTGGAGTTGAGGAGAGGCAGGAGCAATGGGGCCCTGCCCCAGTTACTCTTCAGCAAAATTACTGGCTCCAGCCATTGGCTCTGAAAGTCAGTACTCATCTGCTGTAGAAGAGACCTATAACTAACCTGCATTTGTCAAGCAAAACTAGTATGCTTTCATGTCATTTTTCTCTCCAAGACCAGAAACTTCCTGAAGATTTACCTTGCCAGTTTGAAAACCGGAGGGGGCTGCACCTCTGGGCCTTTCCACTGTTTACAAGCCGCAGGCTCGCAGCCAAGATGTAAAATTTCCCCTAAGGAAAGGAAACCGGGTCACTCTTCAATCCAAACTGAGTGCAATGCACAGAATTAGCCCCTGTAAGCCGCAGTCTGGCTCTTCACCATTCTCTGACTTTCACTCACCTCACATCTGCAAGCCAGGTAGGGAAACTGGTTTGACTTTGAGAGGGGTTGTCACGCTGGCCGTCCCTGTAAGTAACACAACGTTCTTCGCCGCCTCCCTTGCTCCGCACGATCTTAACATTTCACAACCTCCCTCTCCCACTATACCCTCCCCGTGCGTGGAATGACCCCCATCCGTGCTGCTCTCTGACCACCACCCTCCTCTTCCTCCTGCCATGCCAGCCGCTGCGCGCTTGAATCACACACACGCCGCCTTCCCCCCCGAGTCACAGCCCCTCCTGGCACGACATTGGCCTTTCACGCTGCATCCTCCACTCCTACGCCCACCTCCGCGTTCCAGCCCGGCCAGCCGCTGCAGACGCAGGAGCCAGGGGGCCTCCTCCGAAGCATGAGTCACTTTCATGCTTTCCCCTCCGCCAAGCCTCCGAGATCCCCCCCCACCGCCGCTGATTGGCGGAGCGGCGCGTGCGCTGCGGTGTGGAGGGGCGGGCGGCGGCGCTTACAAAGCGCGGCGGCGAAGGTCACAGGCGGAGGATTGGCTGGCGAGGGAGCGCGTGGAGGGCCGGGCGCGTTCTACGCGCGGCTACTCCGCGTTCGGAGCGGGCGGGCCAGCGTTCCACGGGCTGCTCCCGAGCGTTCCACCGGCCGCTCCGGCAATGGAGGCCGTCGGCGCGCTGCTGGCCGGCTGCCCGGTCGCCGGCCTGGCCGGGGGGCTGGGGGTGACCGTCTGCGCTGCCGCCGGGCTGCTGCTCTACAAGATCGCGCGGAGGTAAGGGGCGGCCTCTTCTTCTGCCGCATGCGCTCGGGGCGCGGGAACCGGAACCGAGCCGGCCCGCTGCCGACGGGCTCCTCCAGTAGGCGCGCTGCCGGGAGGAGGCGCGCTCCGCCGGGGAGCGGGGCTTTCCCTGCTTCCTCGCTTTCCCCCATGCGGGCTCCCTTTGTACGGAGGCGGCGATGGGTGCCTGGGTCCTGCTGCTGCCGCGGGAGACGGGGTGCCCTGCCGCGGGGACGCACGCTGGCTGCGGGGGGAAGCGGGAACTTGGATCCCGGGAACTTGGATCCCGGGCTCTGCCGCCGCAGCGGATGGCGCTCGCGGGGTTCTGTGTGGCATTGCCGCTGCCGGCTGACCGGGCTGTAGGAGCCGGGCAGGACGGGGGACGACACGTGGAGGGGACTGTGTTTGCCATGTGGGTGACTCCATAGGGGGGTGGAGCAGGGCTAGCTGAAGGAGAGAGAATAAAGGGGTAGGAAGCCCGGAGCCCTCTGCGAAACAAGGGAGGAGACGTAGCTCTCCCCCGAGCTTGTCACTGAAGCACGGGCAGCAAAAGAGGGGTTGGGCACCGTGAAGAAAAGACCCCGGCCTCTGAGAGCTTTGGCACAGAGCACGGGTGGAGTAGGAAGGGCGGATAATGGATGCTCAAGCTCACGAGGAATAGGCGGGACCTAGAGCAGGCAGTCCATAAACCGTCGGAGCTGTCCTGTTTGGGTGCCATGGCCCTGCCTGATCCCCTAGGGATTTAGGTTCTAAGGCGGCTTGGAAGGGTTAAATTTTTATCAGCAAATGGCTATAAAGGTCAGTTTCACCGTAAACCGTGGGGAAAAAAATATTTCCCTGGATTATCAGCACTTACTGCTAAGAAAAATGCTGCTTCATCACTTCTTAGTTTGATGTAAGGCTACTCGCTTTGTATATTTTGACACGATGTTGATAATTTGTGTTTTAACAGTTATAAAGCTTTGAAATTCCAAAAGTAGTTATGTTTCCTGCCATTGCATAATTAGTGTCTGACCCCCCCCCATTCATTTCCCACAACTGTAAAATTTGATAAAAGTTGAAAAAATGCTTAAAAATTGGTATTTGTCAAAATTATTTAAAAAAAAATCAAATTCTGTCAAGTCTAGTTATAAGCTCTTTGTGGCAAACACTGTGTCTTTATGTGATTGTTCAGTGCCAAGCACAATGGTGCCTCAGTTGCTCCTGGGACTTTTGGGTGTTAGGGTAAAATATGTAGAATGGGTAAGAGTGTAACTGACAATGGCATTTCTGCCTGTGTTAATTTCTTCCATAATTTCAGTATCTGTCTAGGAAACAAAATTCCAAAATGGGCAAAAATTTGAGCTGTATGGGAGCAGTTATTTGTAGGGGGCTAGCCGGATACATTTTTTTTCCCATCCCCAAAGCTATTTCCTGTCTTTGTGTTCCATAACTGAACACCAAGCACTTGGCTATTATAGGAGATACATACATTCATAAAATCTAAAGTGTCTTCCCTTCCTTCAGTAGATATTTTGATGGCTAGCATTTTTTGTTAACTATATTACAATAAATTATTTACCCAAGTCTCATGGCAGCTCTACACTTAAAAGCTGCAGCTACACAGTGCTTAAGGCCTAATCTATACTAGACGTGCTACATCTGCGCACCTGCACCGATACAGCTGCTCCGCTGCAATGCATCTGGTGAAGATGCTCTATGCTGATGAGAGAGAGTTCTCCCGTTGCCATAGCTACCACCACTCATGGAGGTGGATTTAATATGTCGGCTGGAGAATCTCTCCTGCTGACATAGTACTGTCCACACCGGTGCTTAGGTGGGTGTAATTTATGTTGCTCCAGAGGGTGGCTTATTTGCACCCCTGAGCAATGTAATTTACTCCTGGTGGAATTCTGTGCCAAAAAATTCGGCACACAATATTTCAACATTCTCCATGTTTTATTTGTCAAAATAACACAATATAATCACTCCAGTTTCAATTATTTTGAGGATTTATTTCTGACTACCTGTCAGCAAGTATGTCTGTAACAATACAGACAACAAAAGATTTCCCCATGAGTAGAGAATTAAAGAAAACCCTATGCTTTTGTTGAGTGCCTCACTCTGGGTGTGTCACGCATGCCAGCTGGGCACAGCTTGGGGGGGGAAAACTCTGCCCCTCCGATCTCTTAGTTGATTCTCATTTTTTAGCCCCACCCCTTAGCGTTGCCATATTTCAAGTTCCTAAATAGAGGATAATGGCAGGGGTAGGGGCAGTTGGAAAGGAGGGTACAGTTGGGGAGTGCTGTAGATGGTATTTGGGGCATGCTGGAGGGGTATGTACACTGGGAGGGTCCAGCAGCTCTACAGCACCTATTCTGCGGGATAAAATAAAATTCTACACAGAACATTAATTCTGCACAAATTCTGCATTGCGCATTGGTGCAGAATCCCCCCAGGAGTATAAATTATACCGAAGTGAGTGGTAGTGTAGACCTGGCCTTAGTGAAGACACTATCATGCTGACGGAAGAGCTCCCGTTGGCATAGTTAATCTACCCCTGCGAGAGGCGGTAGCTATGTCAATTGGAGAAACTCTCCCATGTCATAGCACTATCTGCACTGGGTGTGTTAAGTCAGTGTGTTGCTCAGGGGTGTGGATTTTTCACCCCCCGTCGAGTGACCTACATATACCGAAGTAAGTTTGTAGTAGACTTGGCCTCAGGCTTTGAGATTTTCTTTCCGGCTCCAGTATTATTATTATTATTTTTTAAAGCAGATGAACAGTGCATTATAATGGGGGAGGCGAGAGATACTTGCTTGTTTTGCAGACTTTTGTTTGGTTGACTTGCAGGGGGTGGGGTGTGTGTATAAGTGCAATGTAACAGTATCCCACTAGGGAAAGCCATGCCAAGATGGTACACTCATGCCATATAGTGGTGCAATATAGCAACTTAGAAAGGTAAGCAGGGGTTAATGCTGCTATTTAGGCTTTAGTTATGTTTGGTGATTCCTGCTGAATTGAATGGAGTTGTACTGGCCTAAGGAAGCTTTAAAAACCTTGTATAAGTTTTTATTGGTTATCTTTTCCCCTTTTTCAGGCTGATGCGTTGCGTTGTTTTTTATAGCCTCGTTTATCTGGGGAGGAGTCAGGATTTGTATTGCACGCAGGGAGCTGAGTTGAATTTGAAAAGTTTAGAACTAGCATAACTTGAAACCAGTGTTTGAGATGTGCTTTTTGTGTAACAGAGCAAGCTTGGGCCGTCCTGTCACCCATAAAGTGTTTCATTGGAGTAGGAGATGGCCCCTTGACCAGTGTAAGATTCATTTACAGTTTGAAGTTTCAAATGGAAATAAGGCACCTACAGCAGAATAGTTGGTTTATCCTAAACCACGTAGGCTTTATATAAATGAACAAATAGGACAACAATCAGTGTTTCCCCCATGTACAGGACCTGACGTTTCCATTTGATATTAAGGTTAGATAAGAAACTGATGCCCTGCAGCTATCTTCCATGAAATAAGCCATGCTTCCATGACTGTTCTTGGTGCTGATTTAGCCAAAGTGCCCCTTGAGGCAGTGGAATGACTTTGCTTTGCTTAAGTGGCTCGGTGGAATGTGTTTGTGGAATCCAAAGAATCTTAGCTTTTTTTTTTTTGAGCCTCTTCTGTACAGGGAAATTATCCATGTTCTGAAAACATTCTCAGGGATTGGTCTTCATAACTGTTTGGGGGTAACATAGCTGTGCTGAGCACTGCCGGGATGAAGTACTGTAAAAACTATTCCACCAGCGCTTCCCAGTCTCATATACTTACTAACAGCACCCCCGCAAAGCAAACGCCTCTCTGCAGAATTCTCTACTGGGCTGGGGGCCTGGAACAATACCTGGAAGAAGTGTGAATTGTCCCATACAAATTAATGGGTGGTTAACTCTGAAACCCCTGCTGCTAATGCGCCCGCCCCCCCCCCCCGCCCCCCCAGGGCAGCCTGGGTTTTTGTGACCCCATCCCAGTGAGATGAATGGGGTAGTTAGCACCTATAATGTCTGCAGACCTAGGTTACACTCAGGTCACATGTCTACACTTGGTCTGCCTGCAGCAGGAAACAGTTCCTAGCTGCAGTGTAGACATCAGTTTCTGGTCAAGTTTCCATTGATGAAGGACAGTTTTTCAAGCAATTTCAATTCTCGCTGGGAGTGGGAGGGGTTGATGTGGAGGGGGTTTTCAGGGAGACTGGTGTAGTCTGGGGGATTGAGAACACTGATTTAAGATGTAGCATTGACCCTCTGATCAGAGGGGTGTGTGGCTGCCTCTAGAGAAGATTTTAAAACACACACACACACACACACACACACACACACACACTCTACATTTGTTAAATAATATGTTTTAAAACTTGATCCACCCTTGTGTCATTCTAGAACCTTGAAACAGTTCCCTTGGAGTCCAGCCTAGGGAAATCTCTTCATACCCATGCTTTCATCCCTCACTCCTTCCCTGCAACTAGATGGGTAATATCCCACCCACACGCTCTCACCACAGACCATCGTCCCCTCCATGAGGTTGGGATCTTCTGATTTTTTTTAACCCATTTCCATGGCAACAGATTACAGGGCCACACAAGGGGGATTATTGCTTCTTATCCCGAATAAGCAGGAGGAGCTGGAGAAATCCTGATCCTTTGTGTGAAGGAAGGGTTGATATTTAACCCTTTGTGGCCCTTCCCCCGCCCTGATAAGGATGCAAAATCTGGAGGTGAGAAACAGAAGCAGGTTTGTGGGAATCGGAACTTCCGTGCTCTTCCCGCAGTAGCAAGTGCTCTTGTACGGATTAGTCTAGTTCTCCTGTGTAGTCTCTGGTACCAGCAAACCTTTGGATGGGATGAAAGCACTCCTTTTCTCCTAGTTTCTCAGAGGCAGGCCCGATAGAGTCCACCCTTGTTTTGTGCCTGTGGCATCCAGTACTAGATCATCAAGGGCTCAGGAGCGTGCTCTCTAGCAACCTGTCTGGAGGAGC